GAGCTCTCTGGGGTCCTGCGTGTGAGCCTCATTTTCCAGCAAGACAGGTTTCACACAATTGGTCCTCCAATAATGAAGGACCAACTGAACTTTTGGAGTAGACAGTATTGGACAACTATTGGACTTTATCACCATGTCTGTCAAAATCATTATCCAATCAAGTGATCAAGGACTAATTGGTGGATCAATTGGGGTTGGGTTTGACATCTTGGGCATGGGTAGGTAATAAAGTAGGAACAGCCAGGTGACTGGTAAAGAGTCACATATTAGTGATGAAGTAAAGCACCCCAGCTGAAGTCACTAATAAGTGAGCAAGTAAAGATAAGCACCTGTCAAAAGGTGGCACAAGTAAAGAGAAGTGAAGTTTGAGTGAAGGAAACAACTAGGACACACAAACTACAGCTCTTTATAGTGAACAATCTTTCTAGACATAGGTTTAGTGATTGATTGTGGTTGTGAGTATCATTCACTGCATTGGGATGAGTGGTCACAGTTCTGAAACAGGAAGGAAGAAAGGAACAACTTAGAGCAATAAGTGTAGACCCAAAGTAGACTAAATAGGATGGTAACTATTGCTATGGGAAGAGGGAAAATAAGACAGAGAAATTAAGGACTTCGATAGTAGGATCTCAAAAACCTTTGCCTCATGTGCACGTTGGATAGACCGGAAGCTGAATATGTAATACAGCTATTTTTACATTTTAAGCACATTTTTTTGGCTCTGTATTTGGTTTAGAGATCAGGGCATGTTGAAGATGCTCTAAGAAAAGTTGCAACTAAAACCAGGTTCACTGGAAATCACACAAGCACAAGCATGAGTGAGTGCTGTTGTTGCTGTGTCACAGCCTGTACACAAACCATAATTACTATTCTGGCTAATCAAACTATCAAAGTATCACACAACATCAATCAAACCAACCATTCTGGCCACCAAAAACACCAAAGTATCACATCACCAAAGGCCATCCTTAATTGCTACCCACCAAACACATTGCCATGATCACAATCCAACACAGCCATGATGATTATGATCCATGCACAACACTTGTGGACATATATGACCACATAAGACAGCCAATGAAGGACTTTCTCAGCCACATACTATGGTGCACAAGCTCATTCCCAAGCATAATAAAACACACAGACACTGTTGGCCATTCTTAATTTCTTCCACCTTCAAAAACATATCACACACATCTAACTCTAATTCCAATACCCAAATTTGCTTTTGATACAATATTTATGCAGGAGGTAATTATATCTGATATACCAAGGTCTTTGTGAAGCACAAGGTCTCGTATAGCATCACCACCAGACCAATCAAAAGGCCTGTATTGTTTCCTCATCAACCAAATTTTGAACTTGACCAACCATTAATAGTTGGCCAACTAAGACCCATTTAGCCCCCCATTGGGACAAAATGTCAGAATTTATGGGGTAAATTAGTCTGACATGTCCCCTTTTGTCCTCCAAGATCCCAACAACATTGACAAACTTGGCAAAGTATTCTACCTCACTTTTGTGGTTTTACTCTGCCCAGGTTTTCACCTCTTGTTGCAAAGACACAGGAGATTGGCCATACACCATTGAGCCTGTCAGTAACCCTTGATACAGGCTCTGGATGGGGTATTTCTTAGTAAGTCCCGGTGGTGATGCTCTTAATCTCATAAAGGATGATACCTCTCATGATTCAAGCCTGAAATGTCATAAAAGTCTTAGTCAGTGAGCATTGGCAGAATCTGAGTTGGGTATGGTTTTGATCTATGTATGGCTTTAGAGGGAAGATGGGTTAACTTGTTTGGTCATTGAGATCACACATTGGCATAGATTTCACATGGCAGTTGCCATGTTGTCTTGTGGCAAGCAGTCTCTGTGTATGTGAAATCTGAGAGGGGACAGCAGTGTGGGAATGTTGCACTTGCGTTTTCAGAGCTTGCCAGTTCCATCCCCCTTGGAGTTCTCTGGCAAACTTTACAACAAAGCAGAAAGGGAAATTGATTAATAATAATCAATCAATTAGTATAGAATAACAAATTGTGGAATGTCAGATGTGTGACTATAAATATGTGATCAAAATCTTACAGCAAATAGGACAGCAGCATGTCAGTTCTTAATCTAAGACATTGGCTTCCACAATAGATGATGATGTGGAAGTATCCCCCAAGCCATAGAGAACCTATCTACAAGAAACTGCACACATGTCATGTGATGCGCTGTGGTGCAGTTGTGCACACTACACACTCTACAACATATAAAACCACCCACAGCAACTCATACAGTATATGTATAAGACAGAAGTGTGAGAACTCTTGTGTGGCTGTCTGAAACATCAATTCATAATCATCACTGATAATTTGCAACCAGGCAGCCTCATCTCAAGGTGTCATCCAGCAACTATCTAGCGTGTTCTGGCCATTCCAAGCACCAAAATAGAGGATTTTTGGCTATCTGGACTTCTTGGATAATATCCAACCCAATAAAGGTCAATTGGTTCACAAATTTGGCCCACTGCCTTCCAACAAATGCTGATTGACAATCATGATCAAGTGAGGTGAGATGAAGGCAATGCGGGTGATTGATAGGCCATTTGCTTGCATGTTGCAATTGACAGATGGGAAATTTCATTTGCTTTGCAAGTCCAAGATTTATATGGCTTTGAAGAAAAGCAACTTGCAATTTTTCAAAAGCAACAATTGTTGTTTGAAAGCAACTGGTGTTTTGGACTGGTTGATTAAGCAAGGAATTCCAATATCACACTGTGAATTTCTGTCTGGGTGCAAAAACAAGGTATGGTTTTCTACATTGGTGGAAGCAAATTGGTGTAAACTTCAATCTGAGGTGGCTCATATGGGATTTTACACACAAGTTTTACACTCATTGCCTGGTGGAAAGAATCTGAGTGGTGGGAAAATTAAATATTGTTAGGCTCAGCATGCAATTTTCCACCCTATTTTTTCCACCTATTGGTTTCCCCTTGCAAGGAAAAATGGAAAAAAAGGTGGAAAGTTACATATGACCCCCCCAGCTTATGCAATTTCCCACCCGCAGGATTATTAAACCACAAGACAGGTTGAAAGAAAACACCGGTGAAAGAAAAGGTTGGAAAATTCACCCACCCTGTTTTTGAATTTCTAATCCTCAGCATTTTATATAACACAACACTAACCTAGTTCTCACCAAGATCACTGCTAAGTCTAAAGTGGGTAGTTGGTGATCAGAGTCCTTGTTCATTGGTTTCACACTTGAAAAACCTACAATACTTTAACTTTCATCAAAACCCTATGAAATAAGATAAAAGATTTGAATTAAAATAAAAATATGTTAGTCACAATTTGGTTGCAAGTCAAATTATAATTTCACATCGTGTAGCTGAATATTTTCATCTCTTTGAATCTTCCAAAACCTTCATTTACTTTTTTCAGTTTCATCTCACCAAACTTTTGACATATCTATGTATCTTTTCTTCTTAAAAGTATCCCCTTCAGTTTTTGAAAGGAAGTGTTCCACCCACTAAAGTTACATACCTTCCCTCTCAAGTTCATTCAAGTTGTGAAATACCTCTGTGCTAAAGAGGGCATACATATGCTGACCACATCACAGCTATAGTGATATATCCAGTGACATGACCACCAATCAAGCAAAATGCTTCATTGCAAGGTATACCTTCTACTCAACTTTGATTTCACCTCTCATCTGAGTTAGTTCCTAAACCCAAAGTTATACAGCCATTCCTTGTTTCAATGCTGAGACAGCTACGCTACAACACACTACCATGCATTTTGTATGTAGCGTAACTGTATGCAGTTAACACAGATCTGACCTTTATGATAGTGTAACTTGTCAAGTTACGCTACGCTACGAGCTATTGTAGCTGAGTTTTGTGCCTCTACACTACGCTACAGGGCCAAAATTTGGTTAGCTGGAGATTTCCTGGGACTCTTCGTAGGGTAGCTGGGATTCATTCATGCTGATTCCTGCTAGCTGTAGCTTTGCGGCATGCTTCTAGCTACGCTATCTTGCGCTATCAGCTACGGGTAGATTAGCTGTCTCAGTGTTGCTTGTTTACTTCATGAACCTATTCTCATCCAACTAGAAATTTTAAACCACCTGAAGTTGTAAGCTTGGTTTGTCATTCCTTCAATCTTCAATCTTGAATCATCCTTCTACTGATCAAATCATAAAATTCCAAATTTCAAAAATCTCAAAGCCAGTTTCACGTCAAAACATTAAGATATTTTGACCTTCCCGTTCTCTTACCCAGGCTCGGTATAAGTAAGTTTAAATGAAACTGAAAAATCCCCAATGGTTTACCAGTCGTTTGATAAAGTCACTTTGCCTATCAAGATGGATTAAATTCCTTTGTACCTCATGGGATAGATGCACAAAGGTTTTTCTTGATCATTTGATTGGGGCCGATTAGGGGGTGTCAAGTCAATTTATTTAAAACAAAAAACCGTAAAAAAGATTGCCGTCGGAGGATAAACTTAAGTAAATTTTACAAAAACGGGATGAACATAAAGGTGTCCTGTTTTCGTAAAACACATACTTATGACTACAGCGGAAAACCCAAACATAACCCAGAGGTTTTAACCCTCTAAATCTGGTGATAAATCAGACCCGTAAACCACTCAAGCCCCTTTTCTCAATCACAACCAACTCAATCTATTTGATTGATCAATACCTACACTGTCTACCTCCTTTTACGTTTTAACCATTGCGATCATTAACATCCCAGTTGCTTTGCTTGACCCTGTTTGTTTGACTCCGTTCTACAATTCGGGGTCTCGCGTTCTACTGGGAGGTTTTTGATCGTTTGGTTCGATTCGTTCATCGTGGTTCTTGTGGAAGCTTGTTTGATTTCGCTCTTAGTGTATTGGAACATCATCCATTATCACTCAACTCCCAAACATATCAATTTTGAAATCAACATCGAGGTGAGTTTATATCTTTTTATCCACTGTTATTGACTACTTACCTATGATTCTATGCCATCAGTCAAGATGAAACCTTCATCATCCAAGCCAACTATCACTCGGAATCATCGCAGTAACGCCGAGGTCAAGGAAGATAACACCAAAATGCTCGAAGAATTGAATCTCCCGCCTGATACCACCAGAATAACGACTGCACTCACTCGCAGGTCTAAAGCTCAAAAAGCCAAGAACGTACTGGTTTCAACTCAGAATGTTCCTGTGATAGCAACTTCTGTACTTCCACCACGAGCTCCAGCAACTTCTGTACTTCCTCCACAAGCTCCAGCAACTTCTGTACCATCCCAAAACCGAATGAACTACTCCAAATTTCGAGCTCAAAAGCAAGACAAAGCTAAAAACCCCCAATTGGATGATACCGACCTCACTTTTCTCATCGATCATATGAGTGTGCCGGCTAATCATGCCAAGTTGATGGGTTCTGGCCCTAAGACACAGGTTGGTGGTCTTAGCCGTGGTGCCAAATGGAACACACTGGCTGCAACGATTAACATCAGGCATAATGATTGACTTTGACTCACCACCACATCTAGTTCAGCCAGGTTGAGTATTGATGGGAGCAAATTGGCCAAGAGGTATGGTCGTATCAAAAGCAAATATATTGAAACAAATAAGTACTGGAAGGAAACTGGTAAAGGATTGACCAATCAAGACATCGCTGACGGGTTCATAACAGTCGAACAGAAGCAAGAGGCCCAATGCCCGATGTACAAAGAACTTGATGTTATCTATGGTAGCAAACCAAATGTTACGGCCATATCTAGTTATGACAGCACATCAGCACCTCCACCCAAATCTCGATCACCCAATAATCAAGCATTTCGATCAACTCCTCAACATCAATTGCCTTTACATCGAGAAGAAGCCTTTAATGAATTAAACCGAGATAATTTTTACTCCCCTATACTCAATGAAGATATTTCATTTGGAAGTCTTATTAATTCAAACCAAAACAATCTCACCTCGACTGGACTTCAAGAAGATGTCACAATGAATTCCTTTGATTCAGACCGACTCAATCTAATTGGAACCGATCACGAATCACATCATCTCAATCCTCAGTTCAACCCAGGTGATTTCGAGTCTCAATTCAACAACTCTAACATTTCAATCACCGGTAATTCATTTTAGCTCTCCCTCAGTTGACTTTTGTTATATCTAACAATCTCAATCTCTTTTCCTTTTGTTCAAACCTAGATGAAACCACATTTGATTTTGGTTACAATCAAGCTGGCTTGAATCGAGTGCAAGATCAACTGGATCAATTTAATGAACAATTTGAAGAAAATTGATTTCAAGAAAATCAATTAGAAGATAATCAATTTCAAGAAAATCAATTTCAAGAAAATTGATTTAATGAGAATCAATTTAATGAGAATCAATTAGAAGAAAATCAATTTAATGAGAATCAATTTAATGAGAATCAATTTAATGAGAATCAATTAGAAGAAAATCAATTAGAAGAGCAAGATGATCAATTAAAAGATAATCAATTTAATGAGAATCAATCAGAAGAGAATGAAGTTCAAGATGATCAATTACAAGAAAATAATCCTCAACCAAAAAACCAAACCAAAAAAGCTCGACAAGCAACTTTGAATTTGGCTAAGCAACCTGCGAAGCCTCTACCAACTCTGAATGCAAATGAAGTTAAAAAGAAACGAACCGTCGACAGTGCACTCAAGCAAAGCAATTCCAAGCGATTGAATTTCTTCAAGGAACAAATTGACCTTGCAAGTATCAAGCAGGACAAACGAGCTCATATTGCAAGTACTTCAGCAGCAGACGCATTAGCATTTGAAAAAGAGAAGTGGGAAACTCAGCAGGTACGCAAAGATGCAAAGAGTGCGTCTGAGGCAGCTCAACTTTTCAAAATTTCTCAGGCAACTCGTGATCACGAAGATAAGAAAGCACGGCGAGAGGCAATTGAGCGTTGTTGCAAGGAAAAAATGCCTATGGAAGAAATCAAGGAGTACATCGATTTTCTTTTTCCACCTTCTGAAACAGCTTAAAAAACATTTATTACAAAAAGGAACCTCACTCAGCCAAAATGTTTGTATTTAACAAATTTTATTTTCTTTACTCTTATTAAATAAAAATGTACAGTATCTTTTCAAAAAAACAACTTTTTTTCCTTTACTCTTCAGGATTCTTTTACTAAAAAGCACATATTTTTAAAAACTCCTGGTCCTTCAAATTTGTATCAGATTGTCTCGTTCTCGTTTTAGCAATTGTATTGAAGTAATACAGATCAAGTATCAATGTTGTTGAAAGCAACTGCATAATCACGTACTGCCTCTCGTCGAAGGTACCCCAAATCGTCCTGTCCAATGCCTGCATTCACATCAAGATGTAAATTTGGTAATCCCACAGGTTCCTCATCCTCTTCGTCATATTCATCTTCCCATGCATCTCCCAGTTGAGCGAGCATATTGTGTAATAGAATACAACATCGGATCCAATCAATGATTGGATCCATATCTTTTTCATCATCTAATCCCAATCGAAGTTCTCGCAATGATCCAAAACGCGATTTTAAAATACCAATTGCATGCTCGTTACGAACTCGAGCTTGTGCTACATAAGTATTGAACTTGCAGTTTCATTCTTGAAGTGCAGCGGCGCCTTTGTAGGTTGCTACAAGTGTGTTGCTGACTCGATATGCCGAGTCAGCAAGCAAATATTCATCTGAACCAGAGGTCAGCTGAGTATTCGAAATCAAAAGTGATTGATTTGACTAACCTTCAGAAAAATGCTGCCCAGGATTGGTAGCAAGATTCATCAAAGAATAGCACTTGTTGTTGTGGCAAGATCCAGGCCAACCGGTATACAGCGCTGTGATCCTTCGATCACAGTCACAGATAACTTGAGCATTGATAGAGTAGCGTTTCTTGTGGTCAAACCAAGTCTTGCCATCTATCCCAGGTCTTTGATAGAGCAGGAAAGTAGTTCCGTCTATGAATCCTACACAACCAGGAAAGCCTTCCAAGGCCATTACCTGAGAGATTTCCTTTTGCCGGTCACAATCAGGCCATTTGAGATAATCGGCAGCGTACTTGTTGATGGCCTGAATGCACCGGCGTGAGCAATTAACTACCGCTCCAGATGAGAGCTTATAAGTTCGGGCTAAACGGCCTAATGAAGCGCCATTTCCTGCACTGCCCAATCGCTCCAAGGTAAGAGCAAGCTGCTTGGCAACAGGCGGTTGTGGATTGTTAGATGTTGAGAGAAAGATCGGGTGACCAATGATCAGATCCAAGATTGCATCATAGCCAGCTCTCGTGGTTTGCATGGCTTGTTTAAACTCAAATGGGCGATCGCGTAGGACATCATTGATATTAAAGTCATCCTCAAATGGCATCTTCCATTGAGGTTCGTGATATCTCATCTTGGTGACCAGCTCTAAAAGGTCTTCAAGCTCATCTTCTGCATTGAAGACAAAATCGAATATCAAAGCTGAGACTTCGTCATCCGGATAAATTAAACCACCCATTGAAGGGATCATTCGTTGCCCAAATATCACCTCTTGCATTCTGAACTCATGAGCTTCTTTGCAGGCTGATTGATACCATTGCTCCATTACATTGATTGTTCTCTGACGTTCGGAGATTCGAACCATGGTGAGTTTGTTTAAGCGGGTGCTTGGGTTGACCGACTGTACAAAACCCGCAGAGTTCTCATTTTACTTCTCGGGTAGCCTACAGCGGCAAGAAGTACATAAATTTTACTGCACTTTTACAACCTATTTTTACTACAGCGGAAATGTTTTTTTACAACAAAAACTTAAAAAGATTTCCGTGTTAAAAAAAATCTGTCGTATTTATTTTGACTTGACACCCCTTAATATGCCTATTGGGCCCATGTATACCAAAAAAAATACCGCAAAAACCTATGCATATAGCGAGATATGTCTACGTTGAGCTTGCTTACATCGAGAGTTGACTGTGTCACGTTAATTGTACACCATCCTTCACAGTTGTGTTTCATCATTTCCACCCAACACTCGCTGCTTAAACTCTCTCCACTTACGGGGGTTTGAAGCTGCTTGACTGACCCCAAATGTGGCGCGGAGCGTTTTTGCCATAGATATCTGAGTGTTTTGACAAAGAAGACTCATTTCAAGTCACTAACAATAAGATTTGACAAGTCTTAGCTCAGCCGGTTCTGTAAATCTCCTTTTTGAGAGATTGAAGATGTTGAGTGATTTTGGTTTTTTGATCAAACTTCTTCAATGATTGAGCTCATGACCATTGAATTTGTAAATCAATAGGTGGTGTCAAACTAGGAAAAGTTGAAGTTTTCAAAATAAAAATTTTGAACCGTGTAATTAAATACATGTGATACAGTTTCAACTGTGTATTTACAGTTTCAACTTTGTATGTATTTGGAGGGTGGCCTCCCTTGGGCTTCACCATTTGTGAAGAAACAAAAAAGGGCTGATGCCCCCATCCTTAATAAATCAACACCTACACCGGGAAACGCGCCAGCAACCACCTCTCCTCGATGTGATATGCCTCGAATCACTCGTCGCCAAACCGTTGTATCAGAAATTCGCACCGCCCTGGATGCTCTTGACGATAATGATCCAACGATTACATTCCCCCTCCGGTCCAGCCTATCAACATTTTCTCATGCGATGGCGGGGTCTTCGATTGCACAACTGGCTGTCTGCTTACATATCAAATCATCTCGTGTTCTCACAGTCTCCTGCATCATAATGACTGTTTTCAGCTTAGCAATGCAATGGCTAGAAAACACATTTAATGATTCAGACAACCAGCTCGTATTTCTTTTTCAACTCTGGCATCAAGAAGAAGTTGAAGACTTACTCGGTCAGCTACACGCGGCTCAAACCCAACGCTATCTAGTACCACGAGGGCCACCTGCACGAGGACCACCCGATGGACGCTTTGCCCTCCTCTTCAATGAGCGAAGCTCCGTGTTTAGGCACCTGGTTAGTATTTCTTCGGTATCTCAAACTCGGGTCTTGATGATTGATGTGATCAAAGTCATATGTTGATTTCTTAGGCAAGGATGCAAAAGGAAACTTTTGTGAAGTTACTTCACATGATTGGCGGGCATCACATCTTTCAGAACAGATCTCCCAGCTCGCCACAGGCCCCACCTGAGTGGCAACTCTTGGTCGCTCTGGCGTATCTCGGGTTGACTGGAAATGGTGCTAGTCCTAGGATGCTTGCCCTGGGTTTTGGTATATCAGGTAAGTAAATTTTACTTTCCATTCCCTTTGTCCAACAGCAATTGCTAACCTCACTTCTCAATTCTCGTAGAAGGTAGTATTTATAATTATACAACTCGATGTGTTATAGCAATCCTTTTGTTGAAGGATCGCTTTTATCAATGGCCCGACCAGACAGAACGCAGCAAAATCAAAAAGGCGTTTGGGCGGCATAGTTTTTTTAAAGGATGTGTTGGTGTCATAGATGGGACACTGGTTACTCTTGCTACAGGTCCTGAGAAAAACATTGAGGATTACCGAACTCGAAAATCAACGTATGCATTGAATTCAATGCTTGTTTGTGATCATCGCAAACGGATCATCTACGCGACTCATGGGTGGTGCGGAAGTGCCCATGACTCACGAGTTTTTCGTAATTCAAAGGCAAGTGTATTCAACTCAATCATGTACACCATTAAGGCTGATGAATCTCTTTCTGAACAGCTCTCAAGGAGCCCTCAACATTTCTTCGGCGAAGGTGAATATCTGCTGGGCGATTCAGGTTACCCTTCAAGGAAAAATTTAGTTTCAAATTTCAAAAAGCCTCGACATATACCCCTTCCAGCAGCCCAAAACCACTTCAACAATGCGCTCAGCAAACTTCGATATGTGATTGAGCACACAATCTTACTGTGGAAGGCTCGGTGGCAGTTTGTGAGACAGTGTTGAGTGGTACTGAAAGGTGTTCAATCAGCAAAGCGACTTAACTATTTTTTGAGTGCCACAGTAGTTCTACACAACTTCCTGATCGATGTCCAAGATTCTCAAATCCTTCAAGATTTAGGACACGATGGTTTTGATTTTGATGAAGTTGATGATGGCGGATCCAAAGCTATTGATGATGATGTCATAGAATCAGATGACACTCGTGCAGCTCTATTCACTCAATTCCAACAATTGTATCATTAGTTGTTATTAATTGTAATTACATATCAATGAAAAGAAATCAATGATTTTGTTTGCTTTTTCATCCTTGGTTGTGGATCGATGTCACTATCTACCTGGTGAAGTAACTCGAACAGAGTTACTCATATTTGCTAAATAAGCGATCGATTTTGAAATCATTTGGTTTTCAACATCAAAACATGATTGATTATAAATGCAAGGTTTTATATTTGAGCGTAGCATTGGTAATTTCATTACTTCATTTTTGAGAGATGATACAATCATGTTTTTGCTGGTATTTGAGACCCACAAATCCAACCTTATCACGAGAAAAAAGGAGAGGTACAACCATCAAAGCACACAGGATAAAATTTTTCATAACATCATATTTCAGTAGTCATAGAATCGATCGTTTAAGGATAATCGAATACGTTTATATTGAAAGGAAAATACTTGTTAGCAAATTTTTGATTTTGCTTAGAAGTCGGGGATTGTACATGACAAGCTGACAAGCTCCTCGGCTCAATCACTATCACTGTCGTTGCTGTCATAATCCATTAAAGCATCTAAATCGGGTCTAGACTCTGACCGATGTTCAAAAAAGTCACAGATCAATCAGTGATCTCAATCCGATTCAAGACAAAGGTTGACTTACTTTGTTTTTGGTTTTCAATCAGACGCTCTGCCAAGTTGGTAGCTTCTGTGGAGGACATTCCCGTCTCCATCAATTCACGTATAGTCTTAGTAGTTAGCTCAAGATCACGATAATCATTCTCAGATTTCTGCTTGTGAATTAACAACTGAAGCTCCCACTTCTCACGGCGCAACTGCATCTTCTCGCGCTTCTTGGCGATTTTGTCACGTGGTGGGGGTTTGGGGTTTGCCAAATTCGTGATGGCAGATGAGATAGTTTTCATTGAACTAGACATCTCTTGGCCAATCTTAAGTGTTCCAATAGCCGTCTTGCAACACTACACCAAATGTAATCTTACCCGGCGGAAAGAAAA